AGTACAGATGTTCTCTCAGATGTTGCTGCATTTCAGTCTTCTGGGCTTGAAAGCAGTACTCAGCAGTGATGCCAGTCAGCATCCCTGTCTACCAGGTAGATTCCTGCAGGATTATAAGTATGGGGCCAGTTTGTACATCAACAAGACACCGTGTGACATATCACCAAGTAGGGAAAAGAGAGATAAAGCTATGCTAGAAAAAGGGGAGGACAAGAGGAAAGGCCCAGAGGTATGATAGTCAAGGGAGATCAGGAAATCAAAAAAGTAAGATGGTACTGACTTTTGGTGGGTAAGGGAGGTCTGGTGGGAGAACAACCTGGAAAGAGTCTTAGGCTGGGAGTTGACAGTCAGCATGCAATTATCCTTTTTGAAATTAAAGATCTGACATCTCCCCTGCAGTACTTACTCCAACTGCCTTGTATTTCCCTAAACTACATCCCTTGAGGAGTTCCTTAAGGAGCTGGTTCAGGTTTGGTCATCTGTGTAGCGTCTGTAGCACCCAGCTGTGTTTGCACTTAGCAGACACTAGTAAAATTGTCTTGGGAATGAATAACAGATTACAAAGATGCAGTGAACATTTCCGCTCTGGATGTTCCCTAGCTGAAGCTCCAAGATGACATAGAGAGAGGTGTCTACCCCCCAGAACGTGAAAGCAGCAGACAGGGAAAGACAGCCTACCCACCAGCTCTCTTTGCGTCTGGCTTCAGTGCTGGGTATGGGCTTGCCCTGCCATCTTTGACACATGCCCCTCAGTGCTCTTGCACCATGTCCTCACAGCATCCTTTGGGGGAAGATAGGTCACGTGCCTTGCCCTGATAGGTGTAAGCATTTCATTCCCATTTCTCCCTGTTTAGTTTTGCTGGATGGCTGCAGGGATATATATCTCTTCACCCCACTCACCTATCCCCCCACCCTGTTCCTCAGGTCTCTGAATTATAGCTGATACATAGACTCAGACTGGAGCTGGTAGGTAAGGAACTCCTCAAGAAGGGGATTTTCTCATAGACCTGGCTGACATGCATTATCTGAGGGGATCTCTACCATGCTTGTTGGTGATGTTCCCCCCTTCGTTTCCTGAAAGAAATGTTCCACTGTTCAGTGCTTCAGATGGTTGAGTGTGGTGATGGGGGCACTTCTGTTCCCGACAACCTCATTATGTGGTTATCAGGAGCAGACACTACCAGGTTGTCACGACAACCAGCAATGATTCAAAGCTTCCTTGAAAGGTCTGTATCTCTGGCAAATAATCAGCCTTTAGCTCTCAGCAGATGCTGAACTGAGTGGCCAATCACAGGTGAGCTGGGAAAGCATGACATCATAGTCCAGCCGGTCCAAAATAAATTAAGATTTTTCTACTTCTCTCCTTGGTTCTTTGTCCCCTAGATATTGTCCCCCCACTCTCTTCCTCTTTTCCTATCAAATGGGCAGCACAAGGAAACCAACTTTCCAAATTCAGTTTACTCTGCAGTTTGACTTGGGCTCGGTCAGTGCAGTGATTGGCATGCGTGGGGAGGGAAAGTGTAATGTGATTTGTTTAGGAGCAAAATCAAATGGAGCATCAGCCCGATTAAATAATGTGGTTTGATATGAATGGCCATGGTAGAATGGGACTAATTAAAACCAAGTCAGAGGAAAGGAACTTCCTAATTCTCATATTACTTCATCCAGAGCCACCTGCATTTACTGTCTTCTGCTTTTTCTTGGGAATTCCCTGGTGGGGGACAGGAAGGCAGAGGCTGTGGGCGTGGTAAGCTCTTAGGTTCCACAGTGCAGGTCTCTAACGGGCACTAATTATAGTGGAGGAAGAGAGACACCCCCACTTCCCACCACCAAGTTCCCTCCATCTAGGAAGCATATGTAAAATGGTATCCATCGAGTCAATTACGGAGATGGAGATGTATGTTTCTAAAATCTGTTAAATCTACTCATATACCATGAGCCATACACAAAAGTTAATGGTGGGTTTCACAGAGGCAAAAACTAAAGCTCAGGGAAATCTGAGTCTTGCTCAAGGTTTCCTAACCCGAGGAGTCTGGAGTCTGGGTCTCTTGATTCCCTGGCCAAAATTCTGATCGCCCAAGTAGATGGTAATATCCTTGCCACCGTGGGCTTCCCTCTGCCCCCAGCCTCTGGTTTTCAAGGGACCTATGGCGAGAAGACTTTGCATCTCTGAGCCTCCTTGGTGTTTTTCTAGCAAGTTGTCTCCTGCAGGAGAGCTGACACTTTCAATGCTGAGTGGAAGGAAGGGGCCCTTAAATCAATGAACTTGGGGAAGGGAACAGAGGACAGTGGGAGTTGAGTAGGGAAAATTAGATGAAATTTTTAAGACATATCAGTGTCCTTAAAAGTTCATGAAGTTGTCCTATATTCTTGGAGAAAGACCACATGGGTAGTAAATATTGTTTTATGTGATATCCAGAATAATATAGGTTATGACCCTTTCATTGGAAGACTGATGTTTTGTGATGGGCCTGACTCCTAAATCCAGCCGTCTTCCTATAGCACCGCTTTGCCTTAATTCGTCATGAACCCAATAGGTCTGGCCCTGTGCTAGTTTCTGTAATCACCAGGGAGAGAAGAAATACACACATGGAACGTTTAAATAACTGTGTGCTGTGACTGCATAAATAGCTCTGAGTTATAGTTGAGGTATATGGGAGGATTAGAGTAAAATCAAATACCTTTTAATTACAATTTAAATCAATAGCCTAGAAGGCCCAAGTTAAATCATTAGCTAGGAAAATTCAGTGATATCTTTCCATCTCTTTAAAAATGAAAGTGTCCTTATTGTTTAAAATAACCCAAATAAGTATATTGTACAAATCAAAGATATACCTTCAAGTAAATGACATTCATTTAGAATGGCACTTTTGTTTAGATTACTTTTACCATGAGGCAAAACCAAAAATCAATGTGATGGGTTACTTTTTTTTTAACCCAATGTTTATTAAAATGCAGAACCAGGTGCTGCAGCCCTCTCCTGACCACCCGCTGCTCCCCTCAGCAGTGTACTTCAACCATTGGCCTGTTCTGCTCCCCACCCTGTCTCTGGTGAATCCTCTCACCACTCCTGCACCTTTGGCCTGTATACCAGTTCTGTTGCATAAATAAATAAATCTTTAAAAAAATGCAGAACCATCCTGACTGCAACGTACTAATTAGGGATTTGAGATGGAGGGTGAAGTGTGTTTTGCATTAGAAAACAAGTCACCACCACCACCACCCCCACCCACAAAATGGTTTAAAAATGTCTGAGTTTAAAAAAGAAAACAAATGTGTAATGGTCTCTATTCCCCCAATGCAAACATCTATTTTTCACAAAACCAGTAATAGCACATTTAATTCTTAGGAGTACTGGATCATGTTACAAAAGCCTGGACTTTGTCCTCAGATATAGATCCAAATCCCAGCTGTGCGACATTTTGTAATGTTCACGAAATACTTGTGGCTGCAGAACTTGATTTTTTAATTAAGGAAAAATGCACAGTGATCTCTGCAAACTAATGGGAATATATGGTTTATTTAGTCTCGCCATCTTCTTTCCTTCTCTGTCATAGATTAGCAACATCCTTTTTTTTTTCCATTTGCTAATGTCATTGCAACTTAAAATGAATTTGTCTAACAAAACATCCTACTTTCTAACTTGTTGAGAAGTTGTCTCTGGTGAAAGTCCCTTAGTGTGATATTCCTACTAATTTGCTGGAATTCTGGAGAAATGATTGATGGATGTTAGGCGGTGTTGAGAAGATTGTGTAAAAGTGCACAGGGGAATGTTACGACCCATTTGACCAGTTAAGTATATGAAGGTATGTTTATAAAGTTTGCAAGTGAAGAGAAAGACTCACCAGTAATCCTACAACTTTAACCCAACTATTAACATGTTATATTCTCTTCTGATACCTTATGCAAGCATATTTTACATCATAATTTGAATGTACTTATTTTATTGTATTCCTTGTCATTTTTGAGGACAGTTTTCCATCTCTTTACTGTGACCTACTGTAATTTATATAATCTAGCCTACTCCTGGGGTATGTAGATTTTGGAGTAGCAAGTGATGATTTTTGCAGTTAGAGTTTCTAAGTCTTTGACACCTGCAAAAATTGTGAAGTTTTTCTTAATGACAAAAGAAGTCATGGACTTTTAGGAGAGGGTGCACAGGAAGAGCCATATTTTTTCGAAATTATATATATTTAAATATACATAAATTTGAAGCAATTACTCTTTTCTGGGAGAGGTAAAAATGCTGTGTTTCAAATGTGTTTCCTACCCCCCCCCCCTTTACCTATCTATACTGGCATCCCATTCAGGTGCTCTATCTCTCTCACTGACTTCCCAGTGCATTCCAGGGATACATCAATGTAAACCCCTGGCCTGACAGGTGGTGTCCCAATTCCAAACTATATGCCCCCTTCTGCAAAGTGTCCTTGTCCCCGGATCGATTTGCTCCCCCCTGGAAATGTATCCCAAATCCCAGGCTTCCTGAGGGAGGCACTTAAGGAAGACATAAGAAACCTCTTTTTCTCCCCCTAAAGTCAGGTGCACCTCTTTCTTGCGGAGTGGAGGTGGGTGGGTGGGAGGGGAACTGGAAGGGATCTGTCTAGACAACCCTGATGGTGTAGAAGTTTCCATCTCCTTTTCTTTACCCTCTCCCTGTACCCTCCCCTTCAGTTCCCCCCTCACCCCCTCCACTCCCCCCAGTGCTTCCTGCCTGGAAACAAAAGATTGGTCCCCAGTAGCCCACTCAGGGAGATTTTAGTTTTCTGCTCCCCCTCTGATTGGCCAGTGAGCGGTGCAGAGCCGGGTGACGTCATAGCAGAGCAGGGCTTGGGAGCGGTTGCTAGCTGGGCTCGACCGCGGCGGGCAGCGGTGGGCAGCGGACCGTCTGGGGTCTCGCGCG